TTTTTTTTTGAAAAAAAATTTGAAACAAGAGAACAATATTTTCAATGGTAGAAATGTAACTTAAAAAAAAATATTTCTAGTTAATTTTTGAATCACTCGAATACACATAACATTCCTGAATCCACTGAATTCCTGTTATTTTATTTTAGGAAGCTGAAAGACTTGAACCAAGTGAAGATCAATCTACATATAATTATATAGATTACAGTGATAAAAGATCATTACCAATTTCTGTACCAGATTATCATACAGTTGATAAAGATGGAGATAAATATGTGGTAAGAAATTATTATACTTTAGTTTTTATAATGGTATTATCACATCTATTGTAATGAGTAATTATCAATTAATTGTCATACCAAAATATTTAAAGCATACAAATAAGTGGAATTAATTATCAGATTTATAAAATATTTGATGTTCACAAATAACATATTGAGATATTATATTATCATCGTTTTTTTAATACAATGAATTATTATTTTTTTATTGAGTAAACAATACAATTTTAAAAACAACCTATTTTACTCACCTAAATATTTAAAATATATGTATATTAATTATTAATATTCTAAATTCCCTAAATATATATGAAATAGTTGTGATTATGAAGTATTATAATTATTTTTTCTTCATAGTTTTTATTGTAATCTTTTACATACATAATTACACTAAACAGTTCATTTATCATAAGATCACATTATTTAATAATTTATCTCATAACAAAGTAAAACTTTGTTGGATTTTTCTTCTTTTAAGATAATGCATAAGTGTTAAACTTTTATTTATATTAATTTTAACCACTGTAGATAGGAATATAGTGAATAAAGGAATAGAGGTTTTTTTTTACAAATACAACTACTATTTAGGTGTTCAATATATATATGGCTGGTCGTCACTTGTGTTCAAAACGATACAGTGAATTTGCCAACCTACATGCTAACCTCAAAAGAGAGTTTATCGGATATAGTTTTCCTAAAATCCCGGGAAAGTGGCCATTTACGTAAGTTCTAAATAAAATAATTTATTTTTTACAAAAAATAATGATTTTTTGAAATAGGTTAAGTGAACAACAACTTGATTCGAGAAGAAGAGGTTTAGAGTTATACTTGGAAAAGGTATGCGCTGTTCGTGTAATAGCCGAATGTGAAATCATGCAAGATTTTCTAGCTGATTCTGGAAACATACAGGTAATTTTATTAATCTATTAGTCTTTAATAAAGGTACTTAATATTTTAATATTTTAATTTCATTTTGTTTATAGAATATTGATTCCATAGTGGATTTAAAAATAATATTACCTGACCGTGAAATAGTAGTTATTAGAACTAAAAAAAATGCAACAGCTGATAGTGTTTACAATAGTGTAATTGATAAAATACAAATGGCTGAAAATACAGCAGCATATTTTTATCTATTTGAAATTGTTGAGTATAATTTTGGTAAGTATTAACATTTTTAACACTATGGGATAGTATATTTTTGTTATTACTTTAAAACATTTAAAATTTATATTCTATACATTATTTACTTATGACATCATATCATTATATTTTATTAGAAAGGAAAATTCAACCAAATGAAGTAGCTCATCAACTTTATGTTCAAAACTACCGGACAGCTAGTGCTAGTTGCTTATGTATTAAGCGATGGCTATTTAACCCTGCTGTTGAAATTCGTCTCATAGAATCAGATAATTTAGCTGCTACATTTGTTTTCTGGAGTACTATAGATGAAGTTGATCGTAATCATATCATTGTGGGGGACCGTTTATATGAGCTAAAAGCTTTGCAAGATTCTTCCAAAAAACTAGATGTAAATTATTCATCATATTTTTTGTTTTATTTTTTTAACCATAGTATGAAACAATTTATAAAGTTTTATTATTTGAATGTGAAAAATTAAGTAATAAGTATAGTATTAAAAAAAAATTGTTTTTATAGTATTTAAAAATGGCTAAAGAATTACCTGGTTATGGTGAAGTAATATTTCCACATTGTCCGTGTGACTCTCGAAAGACTGGTCATGTGATGGCAGCAGTTGGTTATTTAGGTCTCAGACTTATAGCATGTACTGAAGATGGTACTCTTGAGGTAATATTCATTGACTAATGATTACTAGAGACTGGATGTTTATGATTTTAAAATAATAAAATTAAAACGATCTTGTACTCTAAAAATGTTTGGAAAATATGATTAGGAATTATGAGTAATAATTTAATTAGTAAATATTTATAGATTAATAAAAAAAAATAGAGTTGTATTTCCAAAACATATTGTGATGCAATAAATATTATTTAATCTTAAAATATACATTTGCTTGCCATAAAAACTTTAATTTTTCAATTTATCAAAAAATGAATGAGTTGAAAAATTGTTGAGATTATGAAGATTCATTTCAGTATAAATATATACATAACAATTCATAGAAATCCAGTTTTTAGTAAATTAAATTTATTGCTATTTATTTTAGTAAAATATTTAAATGTATGTTCTTGGTAGTTTGAATGAGTAAGTTGTTATTAATAGATTTCTGTATTTTGTTTCTAAGTTTATAGTTTTATAAAAATAGTATATATACATGGATGGTAACAAAAGTATTGTTATTTTCTTCTATAACTGCTCCAAAATTAAATAGGACAGTGAAATAATTAATACTAGCAAATATATTTGATGTTACAGAATCAAATTGTTGAATTCACATGGAAAACTATCAAATGTTGGGAGGTTGATGAGACTAATGGATTATTTAGTTTTCAGTTTCAACGTGAAGAAAAAAGCCCTAAATGTGTTAAATTACACACTCCTTATGTGAGTATTTTATTTAATGTAATTAAAAACAAAATTGTACTATTTATATTATTGTTGTATCATATTTGATTTTTTATGTACTTTTTATGTAATATACAGTTTACATTCCTAGCAGACTGCTTTAATCGAATACAAGAGGAATCCTGGAAAATAAAAACACCATAAAAAATGAATCCATAGTTATATACATTTTGTACATGTATGAAATATTTAATTTAATTTTATAAATATAAAATAAAATACCTAAATAGTATTATTGCAATATAATTTTTTTTTGATATAAGCATTGATTGATGAATGATATTTTATTCTCCTTATTTATAAAATTAATTCAATTTACTTTAAACAAAAAATAAAGATAATGTGATAGTGATAACAGGCGCCATTTCAATATATTTATTTTGAATCTTAAAAAGTCTATTATTTAGGTTTCTTTTAATTAAATAATTCATTTTCATTTTTTTCAAATAGTTACTGTCCATTAAATATCATCTATGAATTTGTGTGTATTTTTAAAATTAAAATCTTGAAATTTATTTTTTTTACTATTTTACTTTTTTTTTTATGTATTTTTGATTTTGTTCTATAATTAGTATGATTTTATTTCAATACAATATGAAAAATGGAAAATGGGAAAAATGTTGGACTTATTTATATAATTAAATAGAGTATACCATCTAATTAAAAATAATAACTCTAAACTCTAAAGTTTAAAATATATTTCCATTTGATTAGTTTTATGAAATTATTTAATAAAAACAAATTATCATAATAAATTAGAGCGAAAATAAATATTATCAAATTATTAGTATTCACTATGATGTAACATGTCAAGAGATTTATTTCCAACCTATTATTTATTGAATATTAAAAACCCTATTTCTTATTAAACATTCCCAAGTTTGATTAGAGTTATATGGAATGATACATTTTTCCACTATTTAAACGTATTCCTAGCTAGTTTTCCTTTATTTTTTCTTTCGATCTACTTTAATTTTTTTAGTATTATATTTATATAAAATTTATAAAATTCTGATTTGTCATATGGACATACATTTTATATATATTATACAATATATTAAATAGCTTATATACATTATGAGTATAATATAGTATTATATATTTTTTCAACCAAATAAAATTATAGTGCCAGCATTATTGTAATTTGGGCCATTTATGAAACTTTTGTTTTACTTTCAATTGTTTATATTTTAAAACCTTTTCAACAATAAGACATTGTTTTGATAACAAATACATTGTTTTAATAATTATTTATTGTATTATTTTATTATTGTATATTATTATTACAATATGTTATGTTATATGTTGTATCGATTGAAAGACATTTTTTTTTAATTTGTTTATTTTATTATACAGGCACATACTAAATTTTATTTCATCAATTGTATTATACTGAGTGTTCAACAAGTGATCATATAAATAGGTTTACATTATTTAATCATTTTATAAGCTCGTTTTGAAATATATATTTTTTTGTTTTATATACTATATTGATGATAAAATTGTACCTGCAATATTGTATATTCTGTTTAACACTCTGTATAGTAATTCAATTTTATATCAAGATTTGTTATGAATTATGATACTATTATAATTAATTATTTATCAATTTTCTTTATTGTAACCATGATTTGTTTTATGTAAATTGAAGATCTAAGATAACATGTGATCGCCAAATACTGTGATCTACAATAAGTTGTACGGATAAGCCCTATATTTTGATTGTGAAGTGGAGTAGTAAGTTAAACATAAATATTACTCCGTTAATGTCTTGTAAGTAATTACAATGAAAAAGTTATTCATATATGACTACCTATATGTAACTTTTTAGTGAAATATATTTTTTGAAAGTGATGTTCTCAAAAGCTTAAACTCCACTTGACTTTTAATTATTATATTTTATTGTAACTATGTCTGCCACTCAGTATTTTATATGTTCTAGATTTTTTTTTTACAATTATGATTATTATTATTATTACTATTATTGAGTCTATCTATATAACCACGGAGGTTGTAATATTAAACAATATATATATATTTTTTTAAATACATAATAAAATAAATATTCAATATTACCATTTATGATAGATTAATACTATTATGTGATTATACATATATTATTGTTGTGTGTGATAACTTGTTTTGATTATACTATGAAGGTCATCCACTCTGTTACCATTTCGTAAATCTATGAGTATGTAATTATTATTTACTAACTTAATGCAGTATTAAAACGCTCGTGTTCAGAGCTGTATCCTTTATTGGTCTCAGCAGTTTGTCTAGGAAACTTCTTAATATTTGTCAATATTCAACATAACAAAGTGACAATGGAAAGTAAAAAGCTCACATTTACCGAAACAATCAATCTACGTAACAAATATGTCGGGTAAGTGCTATTTTTAAAATGTAGTTTACTTGTTAATTTGTTTCTTTTTGGCTAGTGTCCAATATTTTTTTTCGTGTTTATTAATATCATGTGATCACGTACATACCGGCTACCTGTTATTATTTAAATTTTATGATTTGAAAAATATTATTACATTTAATTTGTATATTTGATTGTTAAATTCAATAGCAACAACTAGTATTTTAATTTTTACTGGGCTACAATTTGAGTCAAGCCTCAAAGACCCGCGAGTGTTTTGTTACTACCTACACCCCCAAAGGTCAACATTCAATTATTGGGTATTAAATATTAATGTTTTGTTAAGTTATTTCTTTAAAAAATATTTCATCTCTACACCCTTACATCCGCCAAGTTTTTTCTATACCTTGCCTCCCAAATATCTATATAAGAAACCCGTTAGAGAATTTTTTTAATTGCTTATTTTCCTACTATAATAATTATCTACTTTGTTATAAGCCGCATTATGGACAGTAATCAATATTTTATGTGTTTCAAACGATGTTTGATCAAAATTGAGTTGGTCATTTATAATATTTCTTAGGTATAAATATTAAATAAGTTGGGTTACAAGTGATTTTTAAGTAGGTACCTAGTTTTAGAATAAATTGTTTAATGTGCTTATTTTGGGCTGAACTTAACTAATGGTATAAGTTTTACCTAATTTGATTGAATAAAATAAATTGTACACCAATTAAATTAAATCACAAAAACTGTTAACATATATTTTTTTTTAAATTTAATAACCTAATTAATTTTTGATTGACACTAATATTCATTGTGTCTTCTGTACAAATAGGTTTGCTTATGTATGTATTTTTTAGGAAATCTTGCGAATTGTTTTATAAGAAGAATCCTTTGAAAATCGTTCGCGGCCAAGCACAGTATTTGTACGACCAAGACGGAAGAGAATACTTGGATTGCATCAATAACGTAGCCCACGGTATGGCTTAATAAACATTAGTAGGGTGTAGGCTGTAGGGGCATATTTATGAGTGTTTAACGGGGTCGGCACTAACAAAATATTTTTATTGCTATAACAGAATGGAATGTAGAAAATTGTTTATTGTTTAGTTACAATATTGAAAGTGAGGGATTGGAATAGGTACAAACCCTTGTATAGTTGTATCCCCGATCCCTGCCTTAAATATAAATCTGCAGGTATGGCGTCTATATTCATTATTTTCTTGAAGATATTCGTGGGAAAATGTATCCACATACTAAAAGATTTCCTTACAAGTTGTAAGTGAAGAATTATTGGTTTAACAATGGGATGGTTTTTTTTTGTCTCGAGGAAGTATATATTTTAACTCAGGTTGTTCACCCATGAAATAATTTTCAAAACAATTGCAAGTTCTTAATTCATCGGCATATTTTTGTTTGCCTAACTATACGTCTATACCAAGTGTCTGTATTCCGTTGCACGCATTAATAACTCCTAGTTAATAATTCATAACAGTTAATTTACATTTTCATTTTTAAGGATGGATTACATGGTTTTCTTTTTAGCATTCTCAAATAATCATTTGTATTAAGTCATAACAAACAAATTAACTGAATAATTAGAATACTGGAAATTTTTAGAATTAATTATTCTCACAGCTGATATACAGGTACCTATTATACCTACCTATTGTCCTATTATGTGGAATGTCCATTGTTGCACAACGTTTTGTTAAGTATCCGAATTGAATGTTGTCTTAATTTTTAAAGATTATTTGTGATCATAGTTAAGGCTTTAGAAATGAAAGCAGAAAGACCCGATCAAAATAAAATATCTACATTATGTAATAATATATTAAATTCGATAAAATATCACAAAGTAGATGGGTATAATATACCATCATATTATGTAGATGTATGTGATATGTCTTCCGGGCAATATATTTTGTATATTCCTTATTATAAAAATAAAACATTTTTGTATCGTATATTCGTATGTACATACCTATTCCGTATTTGGTACCTATCTAGTATACCTATATAATATATTATATATTATATAACTTAGTACTTACTATATCTGCAAATCTGCAATGTACACTTATGTACCTATTAGGTTTAGATGTTAATGTTATTTATGTTATTGTATTCATAATGACCCAAACATCTTTGCACAATGCACATCTGAACCAAACAAACGTCAGTACTTCGATATTTAAAATATGTGGGTAGTCAATAAGGCACTTAATTGGTTGGCATGTTTCAATGTTACAGGTCGTACAGTTTTTAATATTCATTGTTATCTTAACAACAACTACCGAGTTTACAAGTAGGTAATATAACCGTATAGGCAATAGCCATATAGGTATCTACAATTTAAGTACCTAGTATAATCTATAACATTTAGATAGTAGGTACATATTAAGTATCAATTAATTCAAAGTTCAAACAAACAAAATAATATTATTTATCGCTGTGTGTTGACTACTTATTGAATTTACAATATATACGTAGATACATAGTTAGGTAGCTACCTATAATCTATATCTTGTATGAGTATAATAAATCATAATACTTGAAGTCTTCTTAGTAGGTACACTGTACAGTGTACAGTTATTGTGTTTAGACATATCGTCTTTAGATTCTCCCGTATTTGTTTCTTCAAGGTTCAAGCCCCGAGACAGTTAGTTTTTTAAATTATTATTGACACGCTGGGTTGGTTCCTACTGTATTAATATAGGTAATATAGCCATTAGCCACATGCCCAAATATGTATATGAAAACACCTGAATTAATATAATAATAACTATTATTAATCATTATGCCATTTTAATATTATATACCTACCAATCACTTTTTGTATTATATTATTTTAGTTAGGTACCGAGAGGAGCGACACATTACGCATGGGTCTTACAATAATTTGCTTTATTTTCTGAGCGGAGTAATGAATGTACCTAGGTATTGATTTTACAATATTAAGTGCGTTACTTTTTTTCACTCTGTAAATATTTTTATAGTTTTGTTGGGAAAGTGAATCTATAGTCAGTACTTTGGGGGGATCAAAAGAAAAAAATTCTTAGTTGTTTTCAAAAGTTTTGGGAAAACCAAAAGAAGGAAGTTTCCTAAGAAAAACCAGTTTTTTCATAAAACCGATTTAGTTTTTTTAGTGTACCTAACTCAAATACTAATAACCGTAGATCTTTAAAATTTTCAAAATATTTTGACGAATTTTAAGATAATATTGACGTGTCATTTATAAGTTGATAACAATAATATACCTATATTTTACTTAACTTACTGTTGTAAGTGTAACTAGTAGTGTATTGTACCAACAATACCGTGATACTATAATAGTTAACTATGAAAATATTGAAAGAATAGAGGCTGACGGTGTGTTTGCTCGACAATTGACAATAATATTTTGTAACGGTGTGTCTTTGATCAGAATCGTTGTTTGTATGGTATGATTATTATTGAATTTTTACTGAACACATCCATTTCAGTGGTCAGTGACCTACTCAATGACGAATTACACTCAAACTCTACAATACGATATAGGCGGTACAGTTGTAACATCCCAGTTTTTTTTATTTTGAATAGCATTTACATTTTAAAATTTGTAATATATAAGTAGGTAATAAGAATAACAATTGACATCATATTACGATAAATCCGAAAATACTGATACCGATGAGTGGTGGGAACCATTAACCATTAACAAATTCAGTAAATACCATTATTTTTTTAAAATTTTGATTATTAATATCCATTTAATACTTTTTTTGTATATTGTTCCTTTATCTAAATAAAATTATTATTATCAATGACTATAATTTATTAGTAATAGTATAATAGAGCTGTGATAGTGAAAATGAAAAAATTTAATTATATCATAATAACTTATACCTATACTTATATGGATTATTTACTAGACATTAAATCAAAAGGTTGAATTATAATGACCATCTTATTATAGTAAAAAAGTCAAACTATTTCAGGTAATAATAAAAGGTGTATAATATTATAATTAATAATCAATATGTTATACCTAATGTATATTCTCAAACGATTTATGAATATAATATATAATAGGTAGTGTCAAATATCTTTACTCGCTGTAATTACGCTATTTTACATTATTAAAATTATCTGTACCTCATTATCTTAGTTTTATTGTATTTCTATATTACATTATTAGTTGTAATTGTTGAGCTATAATAGTTTTTTTTTTTTTTTTTAATTGATCCTGAGCCCGGCAACTGTGGCCATTAGCTATTAGTAGGTACTGTAAGGTTTTTGTATTGATGGTTTGTAGGTTTTTTGGAACGGTAGGGGGAACACGTGTGTGTTTGTTTTGGCAGAATTTCGAATGGGGCACCCGTAGGTTTCTGCCATGCCCCGGGGGTGGGGGATGGCAGCACTTGCTCTCAGGTCACCGCGACTTGTCCGGAGAAAAATGCCGCCCGGTGGCCGAGGATCGAACCGCGACCGGCTGCGTCGCAGCGGAAGAGTCAGACCACTCGGTCACCTCGTCCCCCTATAATAGTTTTATACTGAAAGCTAAGAAATAAAGTGTTTTACTGGTAATAATATATATCAGTATAAATACGAGTGTCACCGTATGACTTTTGTATACAAACATTTTGTTGTTGATGGCAATACAACATAGCTACAATTATTACGAATTTTAATGTACCCAAATATTTACCTAGTTTGTAAATAACGCGTGGTGTAATATAATATTATACTTACTGAGTAATGTTCAAACCTTTAAACTCAATTTTTGTATCGTTTTGTGGATGCTTCGCTTCAATATGCCTACTGAGGCATAGGAGGTTTCCTGTTTTTCTCTGTATAACAGTTTACGGATCGAAGGTCCAGGGAGACACAACGTTATTTTTAAGAGTTTTATTTCTAAAAATAAGTATAGCTTATAAAAAAAGTTGTCCAACACTTATTATTTGGTAAATTGAAATGTATTTTCTATAAATGTTCTAAATAATGTTTTTCACACTAAGATAAATAATTTTCTTTAAAATCTGGTGAAAAATATTAGTGAGAGAAAATGTTTTTGTGGTTTTCGAGTGAAGTGAGTCGCTTTGCGTGGTGTGGCATTGTACAATTTTCACGTGTGATCTTGTAAGCATTTTCCACACAACAAATGAAGTGCCTATCTGCTTCTGCTCTTATCTATGTCTAACGTCTATTATGTGTTGTTCGCAGTTGGCCACTGTCATCCGGATGTGGTGAGAGCGGGCGTAGAACAAATGCAACAGTTGAACACCAACAGCCGGTTTCTGCACGATAACCTGGTGGTGTGCGCAGAGAAGATTGTGTCGAAAATGCCAGAATCGCTTTCGGTCTGTTTTTTCGTCAATTCCGGTTCTGAAGCAAATGACTTGGCATTGAGGTTGGCCCGTCAACACACCGGCAACACGGACGTCATAACCATGGACCAGTGAGTATATGTTTTATTAAATAATATTGAATTATTAATTATTATAGCTCGCGCTCACAATTGCCTCATTGCTCACATCGGTGGACTAACTATTTAGGCATTCGTGAGTAGCATGTGATCTACTATATGTGACAGGGATCTGTAACAAAATTTGAATTCAAAATTACAAATCTACAGGTTACAGTCGATTATTTACTATTGATATTTATTTTTTATTAGTAATTAAAGATTATGAAAACTATAAAAAAAAAAATAATCAAATAATCAGTTAAAAATGTATTTAAAAATATGAATTGACCAGTGTAGCTATACCTATATTAAACTTCTATTTCATACATAATATTATTACTAAAATTAGGTGTACTTCCATGACCGGAATGAACTGTATAAATATAGATTTGGCATAAATTCCTTGTATATGTATTATGTAATAGGTAATACGCGTATATAATACATGACTAATACTAGTATACTACCCATATATAAGAGAAAAATCAGACTTTTTGGACTCTACCACTACTTACCTATTAAAAATGAAATATGTAAGTAACCGTTGAAAGATATTTATAAAATTTGATGGATCACCAACTGACAATTACAGTAAGTACTATATTATACTTCAATTGAAAGGTATAGATCAATTATAGGGTACATCACCTGCTACTACATGAATGTTTATATCTAAGTAGATTACAGAATCACATATTGTTGGGTGGGTTAGGGGGAGTAAATTTTGGTGGAAAATGAATTATCAACTGAATGCAATTATTTGAAAATATTATCGTGTACGATGGTGGATAAAATATAATAGCTAATTAGACTCATACTTAGAACCATACAAAATAAGTTTTGCCAAGATAATGAATGTTTATTGTCGATAAAAAAAATCATTCTGTCGTATTACATAATACATATAGGTATCTATAAATGTTTGATACACCCAAATTAAATGTACATTTGATGACCTTTGGTTTGATTCTGTGTCGTATTCCGATCGAGAATTTAACGATATGAATTGAGTAAAAATATATTCACTTGTAGATACACTAAATTTTATCTCAAAAAATTAAGTTACTACTGTAGGTATAACACTATTTAGTTCAGTTTTTATTGGTAAATAATTTTTTTATTTTATTCATATCGTTAATTTTTTTAATATAACAATCACCTAATTTATTTATCTCTGCTGTTAGTTTTAATCTGTATGATGTTCAGTTCAACAAATCAAAACTAAATAGAAAAATAGATTTGAGAAATACTGTATTTGTGTTGAACAATAATATACTTTTATTTAAATAATTTGTTTGTTTTTTTTTTAATATTTACACTTCAGCATATTTTGTTGTGCTACACTGATTAATTCTGACGTGAATATTTAAATTGTACTTTTGCTGACATTGAAAAAACGTACGTACCTAAATGCTATCTTTGTATGCATGTATATACAAAATAGATAGGAATACAACAATACTTCTTATTTTTCATGTTTAAAGTGTGAAAGGTTAAAATATAATACCTAGCTATTAAATTATTGCCATGATTAATTAAAATTATAATTTATCATCATTATTGAAAATAATTATTTAATGACGCAGTGGTCCTCAAATCGTTTTGTTTGCGGAGCCCTTAAGTTGCTAAAAACAATCTACAGAGCTTCCAAAAACCAGAAATGCTAATTTTAAACTAAAAAAATTATAAATGATGATCATTATTCATTATAGTTATACAATGTAACTAATATATATCGAATTTAATTTAATTTGGAGTTTTCCGAGGGGCCACTAGATTACTACCGTGAAGTCCCTGGGATCCTGCCTCCTTGGATCACAGTTTGAAAACCACTGTATTAACGAGTTAAATAATTATTAAATTTAATAATATATTTAGTGTATATTTAGTGTTGCGGGTCTTTTTTATGTAAGTTATAAGTGTTCTAACAGTGTGATCAGGATTTGACTCCTAGTTTCAGTTTTACATTATGGTAGCTTGCAAATAGTATGTAAGAAAGAAGTCTTACTTTTATAGAATAGATTATAACAATTTCTACACTCCATAATATCTCGCACAGATATAAGGTTGCTTGTCTTATTTTTGTTAGTGTTTATCTGTGTAGATAAACTATGATTTAACAGTTTTCGGTCACCACAATCATGCATAAATAGGCACTTTTAGTAGTAAGTTACCTATGTCAATATTATGGTTAATCAAACTACATTTTGAAATTTTATATTAATTTTAATATAGGTACTACTAGTGGGTGGTTAGGTTAGGTTAGGTTCTTCTTACAATGATTCTTTTAACAATCAACATTAATTATCTCGAAAAGTATATAGTACTATATTATTAAATTAGATAATATCTATAGTTTAATACTACAATATGATTAAAAAACCTTTGTCATCAGTGTATTATACTAAACTTGTACTGAATTTACTGTATTGGACATTGGTTTATGATATATTATGTAAGTTCATAACAACATAATATACGAGATATAGGTACTTCACACTCTTATGTATAAATTATATGTTTACTGTTAACTATTCACTATATACCAATATAAATAACTTAAGCTAAGTTTGATAAATAAAAAAATATTAATCTTACAAAATACATCGCTTTAACTAAAATATATGTTATATGTATCATATATGTTTCAGTGCATACCATGGTCACTTGACTTCACTAATTGATATATCACCATACAAATTTAATTTACCTGGAGCACCAAAAAAACCAGATCACGTGCACGTAGTATGTATACAAATATTTCTCAATATTATTTATAATTATTAATATTGAATTTATTCGACTTCATTCTGGTTAATTTTACATATTTCATTCAAAAAATACATTTATTAATATGAAATATTAATTAATATTAAAAACTAATCTTGGTTTTGCTATTATATAGTTTGCACTTACATACTTATACAGTTATTCAAGTTTTTCAAGTTTTTTTTTTAACTGGAAGTTTATAACTTGAAAACCTCACATTTTTTTATTCAAGGTTATTTGTGTGTTAACCGGATTATAATTTGAAAAAAGCCCCGACGTTTTATTTCCTTAAGATTTTAAATTTTAGTCGATTGTTAAATATTCACAAATTACAACCAAATCGTTATAAAATATATTTAAATATGTAATTTTGATTTCAAATTTGAAGGTCATTCTTATTATTTTGTTGTCACTCTAATGATTTATTTGTTTAATGTTTACACACACACACGTGTATATAATATATATATTATTTTAATCTATATGTTTCATTGTTTTTACTACATAGGTTCCGGTTCCGGATGTATATAGAGGTAAAATAAGAGCGGATGATCATCCCGACGAAGATATGGGAAAATTATATGCTCTGGAAGTTAAAAAGATTATTGATGAAAACGTGATCGGACAACGTGGTCAAAAAGTGTGCGCTTTCATCGCAGAAAGCTTACAGAGCTGTGGTGGCCAGATTATATTACCACACAATTACCTGCGAGATGTTTACTCGTAAGTGATATAAATCTTAATTAAGTTCGAAAGACTACACGCATAGGCGATTTAAATAATTATAATAACACGTAATTCGTTACGACTATTTCATTTTCACACTTACGATGCCAATATAATTAAAAATTTAAAACACACTCGTTCAACTAAAACTTGGAAATCTATCATTGGATTAAAATTAAACCAAGAAAAAATGGTTTGAAATAACTTAACTAAATAATTTTATCATGGTGACCAAATATTGACTATTGTCGTTGGTAGAAAATATTATACACAATAATTTATTGTAGATACACTGATAGTCGATTACCATTATATGTATTTATCTAAATTCAAGGATAAATGTACCGATTTGTTAATAAAATGTCATAGTGTGTTGCACGTTCTGCGTTTATAATATACAATCTAATATATTTTAGTTAGTTACCGGTCGAATAAATTAAATACTCATAATTAGCACTAGAATAAGTATCTAAGCTAAATATGTATGATAATAACTATACACACTTATAAAACTTTATTTTCAATTACCTATATGTGAAATGTTGACCAATGTTAAACTTGTAGGCTAATTGCCTTAGCAGTTAAAATTTATTACTAGGTAAAAATAAAAAAATAAATTATCAAAGAAACTATCAAAATACAATAAATTAATGATTTTGGTCTGTAATATCATTACGCATTGGTGTAAAGCCATATAGGTAGTACATAAATAACTAAAGAAAAGTGGATCTATAGTCTGTACAAATATTAACGGTTCCATATTCGTGATTTCTTCTAATTGTATTTTGTATTCAATAATGAACCTTAAGTTGCCTATACACGACGCCGAGAGAACATTATTTTATAATATTACATTTTATTGAAAAAATGTAAAATATTTTACGATTTTCAGGAAGATTCGAGTTTTTAAATTTATAATAAGTTTTGGCAAATATCAGTTTTTTTTTTAAATCGAGTTTTGATAAAACCGATATTTTAAATTGAAAACTTGTGAGACTGTGAATGTGTCACACTGTATGAATATAAATATTCTTAGTATGTAGAGGATAGAGACTAGAGTATGTTTTTTGATTTTAGATATGTGCGGGAAGCCGGTGGTGTGTGCATTGCTGACGAAGTTCAAGTGGGATTTGGCCGGTCGGGTACGCACTATTGGGCGTTCCAGATCGACGGACCCGACGTGTTACCCGACATCGTGACCATCGGCAAGCCCATGGGTAATGGACATCCGGTGGCGGCTGTCATCACCACGGAAGCAGTGGCCCGCAGCTTCGAAGCTACCGGTATTCAATATTTCAACACGGTGAGTAAAAATGAGTGTTTGTTTGAGTATATATAGTGATTTGAGTGGTTTGATTAGTTTTTATTTAATTCATGTAAAGTCTGAAAAAATATAAATTAGGTATATTTTAATGCGGAACTCCATTAATTCTCCTTTTATTTCTAAAAATCCAAAATCCAAAATATAAATTGTTACTTCCATTCTGGTTACCTATAAAATGTATTCGGTATATATTATTTATACTATACTTGTTATCGTAAAAAATACTAAAACATAATTTGGAAAATAGTCAACAAAACATGCATATTGAAGAGTTTTTTTAACCGTACAAATATATTGTATATTGACCAGTTTTCTACTTAGTCTGTTGTCTGTAACATAAAAAATACAATATAATACACAGTATTACAACATAGATGTTATAGATTTACTCCAGCCCATTCTCATTCCGAATTCATGATAATCGTATATCAACACATACAATTTATGTTTCATTATTTGAGAAAACACTCTTGGTCAACCTTAGAATTTGTAATCTGGAAAATGTCTTACTGCGACATGCAGTGTTGTAGTTCCTAAATGTTTTCTAAAAATAAAAATTACAACAATCACAACAATTTCGAAAATTTCGAAAATTTCGAAAATTCACTAAAAACGTACTATTCAATCGCTCTGCGTACACCATTACCAGGACATGTATAATTAATAATTATATTTATTTTCATCAATTTTGATATACCTACCTATAATAGTGACCTAAAGCAATCATGTGGAGTAAATTCTAAATCCTATACTCACTTCCATGGTTATTAAATATATATAATATATGTATCTACGTAATAAAATGTTTATGTACTTATCAATAACAGATTATTATTGTATAGCGGTGTTATTCCGCTAATCCAACTTGGATTCAAGTTAATCCAAGTTAACGGCGAAAAACTCTCGTGTGGTTTTTCAGTACGGTGGAAATCCCGTGTCGTGTGCAATAGCCATCGCCGTGATGACCGCCGTCGACGAAGAACGGATGATGGACAACGCCAAAGACGTGGGTGGGTACTTGCTGTCCGAACTCGAAAATATGCAACGGAGGTTCCCCGACGTGATCGGCGACGTCCGAGGTGTTGGACTGTTTGTGGGTGTAGAACTGATAAAGGACCCGAAAACCAAGACTCCGGCCACGGTGGAAGCTCGAGAGGTCGTGGACAGGTAATTTGTCGAATATTGAGTGAGATGCCCCCAGGCCACAGGTCTCCGTTATTATAATTTTTTTTTTTAGGGAAGTAAATGATTTTATTCTAATCTACACATTTTAAACATAATTATAAATACGTATTCATGGTTATAAAAATTATTTTAGTAAAAGGACTTCAAATACATATTTTGTCAATAAAAAATATTTATAACCATAGCTATATAAAAACAAAAAATAAATTCAAAGAGACAATTTTATCATCGGTCCTGAAGCGAGTATTCTTCATGTTTATATCCTTATAGGTCATAAACGAGTAAACAACGAGTACCTATTTAAAAAAATTTTTTTGTTTCAATGCATTTATATATATTTGTATTTAAAAATCATTAAAAAATATATTTAAATAATTTTTGATTTGAAAATAGTTAAACGTCCGTTTGCAATACATAAAGTACGTAAAGGTACACTGAAAGTATTTAACAAGTATTAATATGTCCGAGTAAACTTTCCAATTTCTTTATGAAAGGTTTGTCATAGGCCATAGCGGAACGATTTTCTCCGTAAAAATAACGAGTGATGCGGCGATGTGACATGTGCAGTGTACAATATTTTGTGAACTTATGTAGTTAAAAATATTATGTATTGCCAAATGGTTTTTGACATATTTAGTAGAATAATATTTATTATCAACGTACATATTGTGTTTCAGAATGAAAGACGAATTTAGAATATTGGTCAGCAGCGACGGACCTGACGTGAACGTCATCAAACTGAAGCCACCGATGGTGTTCACCAGAGCCAACGCCGACCGCTTTCTGAAGGCGTTCAAAACACTGATTTCAGAGATTAGGACTCAACGGTTTCAAATGCTGTGATTTATTTTATACTGCCACCTACTATAAATGTTTACGTAATTCATCATAATTATCATAATTGTATTCTTTAAATATATATAGGTTATATAAATAACATATACTTTATAAAACAAAACGTATTGTATGATACGTTATGCATGATATAGGGTAATATTAAAATATTTATATGTATAACAATTTAAATATTTAACTGGAAATATTAAAATAATGAAACCGATTATTGTTTTTATGTGTAGAAATACGTTTATGCTCGTAGATATTTGTTTGGCCCTGTCAGGCCGTGAACTGAGCGAATACAAAGTAATTGATGTATTTTGTATGGTTTTTTAAATGTTTTTTTTTTGTTATACAATAGACTAACTTTATAAAAACAGCTATAGTATGCTGTGGTCAATTATAAATTCTTATAAATTCTTTTAATAATTACGTATTCAAGAAGAAGAAGAAGAAGAAGCAGGGTTATTCTGCAGATTTTCTTCCGCGTAATTCGGTGGTAATTGAACTCGTATTGCATCGAGACGTGCTATGACGATATCGCATTTCTTATGGACGTCTTCCAATGCATTTTCAAGTAGATCTACTCTCTTAACCAACCTGAGAACTCATTTTATTTATAAATCAGCTTGGAAACAATTATTTCTATACTGCATACTTACCATTCGATTTCTGATGCATTGGAAGTGTCTTTGTTATCTTTTTTACCTAAAAATAATAAATGAATTATTTTTGTATGCACTATTTTTAAGTATACATGTACTAATTTATGAATAACTGTTTTTAATTTTATTAAATACTAGCTGTACCTAACCCGACTTCGTCCAAAAAATAATTAACAAACATATAAACATAAAATGTGCAAAATTGGTTTTCTGGGTTTTAGAGTAAATACCTCAGTTCACTGAAAAATTGTCATTGGAGTACCCAGCTTTGTAAACTAATTTGACAAAGTTGAGAAATTAACGTACGATGGATTGAATATAGAACTTGGTTTATTTTCGGACGTGGTTCAAATAAAATTCTTAATTTTTTTGACGTGACTGAAGAACAACTATTGAAACTTTAGTCAACATTGGTTTAGTAATTTTTGAGGCTATAATAATAGTTACAGACTAACAGACATTGTCTTTTGCTGTAAATGACATATATAACGTACAGTTAGGTGACTATATATTATTTTCTTTTATTAAAAAAAAAATCCGGTGGGCTTTTCTAAGCCAATTAACAAAAAAATTTATTTCTTATTTTTTTCTTTTACCTTTTATAACTTTCTGTATAAACAAAAAGTTTTTTGATTTTTTTGGCCACCCTATAAAGCAAGTTATAGGGGTCAAAAACGTAGTATAGAACACTCCTCGAGTCCCAAGAAATATGGGCGCAAAATATTATGACAGTTGGTTTGTAGTTTCGAAGTTCCATACGGATATAAATTATAAATACATTTTTATACATACATATATGTTGCATAAGAATTAAGTAATGGTAATCAGGTATTTATCAACTTTTAAATTTAGGTTACCGTCAAAACAAACATTGTATAAGGTTAATGTTTCATGTACCAATTACCTATAACTATATAGTAAATAAAATATGGCGTCGTTGGCAAAAGGGTGGAGGAGAATTTGCTTCAATGGACAATAAGCCACTTTAGGTACTGTTTATAAGTTTATAATAGTGTTTAAAATAAAAGATTCTTGGAGTTGTCACAGTCGTCGACAATATCTGATTAACGGAGAGCGATAATGACGTCTTCATTTAAAATGATAAATCTTAATATTTATAAATGCATGTATAAGCCTAATTTAGATGGAGGATCGTCCAAAAAACGTTAACGCCAAATGTGCACTACTATCTGCAGTAGTCAGCAATAGCCGATGAAATGACTGTAGTGATTGAATCTTATATTATATATATATAAAAAATATAATAAAACGCTTACTCGAGTCTGGTGAGTTTTGCAGCACGTCCCGGAACATTTGCTTAGCCTCGTCTTCGTGTACCATCTTCTGCGGTTCGATGCCGTATTTGTCTAAAATCTTTTCCACTTCAGAGTCCGTGAAACGGCAACTGAGGTACGAGGACGAAGCGTTACGCTGATGTTAATAAATCGTTTACGCGCAGTCGATATATGCGGGATCTACTCATCGTTGTATACATAGGTAGGTATACCGCCTTGGTATAGCTGGTAGTCAAGCATATAATATATAGTTAAGCCGGATTCAGAGCTACGCAGTAGCGTGTCGCGTCGCGTCGTTCAAATCACATTTTTTGGTACTGTGTCAAAACCAAGTTGCAATCACCGAGTATCTTTACCAAGAGTCGACTACGTCTCAACTTTTAAACCAATAAGGTTACCAGTTCCCTGTACGCATAACATGACATACGGCGTAGCTGTGAATCTGGGTTTCATAGGATTTGCGAGACTCGGAAAATATCTCTAATATATCCCTATGTCTGGTTGGGGGGGGGGGGTGGTGGACTTCGCCCATCCTCTTATATCCACTTACGTCTATTATGAATTATGATGGCATGCTTTAGTCTTATTTACATAATATTATGTATCTATACCATGTACCGTTTTAGTATCTTGTAAACGTCCTGATAGGAAATGCGGCGATTCAGTTCGTTGTTCAGCCGGTCGGTACGACGTCGCGCCGCCCATTTGTCGAAGCCCACCCGGGCGAGCACTCGGTCCACGAACGCCGAAATCTTGTCGCTTACATACAGTTGCCGGTCCCCCAACGACTGTTCGACGTCCACGTCAAAATACGCGTGAAACACGATCGCCACTAGCATCGTCTGGAAAACGAGTGCGATTTAAAAAATAAACCTCTTCTCATACATACGCGCGCGATTATATATATAAGTATACTGAGGGTGTGGTGCAAGGCGATCTACCATATACTAACAGTGGTGATCCACACGTTTTGTTTGACATTCTTCTTTCAAGCGATGACCGCGTTATAAGGTTATTGCGCTGTCAATTATTGACTAGAAAAAAAAACAACCAGGTAGATCTATAGGGACCGCCTTCCAAAAGCGATAAATGGAAAGCATTTACGAAGCAACTTTAAATCAACTATTGAATTAGGCACAGTGAAAATTGTAGAGGTCCACAAACCGGGGCCCATATACCGCAAGTACATTGAATGTTTATAGTTTGTACAAAAATGTAAGACACGCAAGTCAATTTTGCTTCCCCTTTGCATTGAAAGGAAATTAAAAGAAGAACGGTGGAGATTTGTGTACGATAGATAACTCGATGATATTCTAAGGTTTTCTGAATGACACGGAAGAAATCGTCTATATAAATCATTTATTATTGTTTTTAATATTATTGTGTAACTAAATTTTTTAACCTTTAAATATTTTCATTCAATAACTAATAAAGTTAATGAAATCAACACATTTATAAAATTATTCATAATTTTTATTTCGTTTTGTTGTAATCCTACAAATAACAGTTAAAAATAAGTAGACCACTTACGATATCGTTGCGCTCTCATATAAATATATAATAATAATATAAACCAACCCACGGACCGGACGGACCCACAGGGATGGGAACATGATCCTCGAAAATAGATTTAAAAAACACTTTGTACATCATAATTATTAATTACCAAGAGAACGAATATCACCACGCACGTGAAAAATACGAAGAAGAACGTGGTGAACCAAGCGTCCGCGTCTTGAAGCGTCTTGTAGTCGAAGTCCCTCATCAGTATTCTGAGCGACGAAAGAACAGAATCGTAGATGGTCGAGAATCCTTTTACCTGCAGGTTTGGGGATGAAAGTGTGTTAGAGGAAAACGACAAAATAAATGACGGTGTTATCGCGTTCAATTATACGTATATATATTATATTATATGATGCGTATTTGTGGAGGTATACATTTTCAAGTTGATCGACGACATTCGAATAGTGATGTCCTTCGTTTTTATACGAACAAATTCTAACGAGGTTCGTGTTGACTGTAAATAACTATAATGTATAAAAATATCTATACGTATAGTAATAATATTCATCACCCATCGTCTCAAACACTTAATATCTACAATATTTTAATACTGTATGGTTCATATTTTAACTTATAATTCGTATTTTTATGTTTATTATCTGTAGGTAGGGGCTGGAAGCCATTACTAAATCATATACCACAACAAGCATCATATTATAATATAGGAGTTATTATAGTTTAAGAGATTAAAAAAAAGTATTTCCACTTCACGTAGAAGTCAATACTGGATTTGATGCACACGAGTATGCATTTAAGCATGCATATATGTAACATGTACCTAATACTTATATCACAAATCACAATGTGGATTGAAGTTTGAGATGGATGCACTCGTTTTCCAATTTAAACATAATAATTATTTTAGTAAATAATAATATTTTGACTTATTATTGTATGTTGTCGTAATTACCTGTGAGCCGAATGCGAAATAACCGAGCGTCGCGAACGCGCTCACGACAAAAACCATTATAACCAGGTATCCCGCAACGATTTTGAAGCACTGCAGTGACAAAAAAATTGTAGTTCCATATATGTACAAGTGCAAATATTATTAATATTATTTTACTAGTCAGTGGCGCCTGAGTCGTTTTTAATAGATCTGTATTGAAGATCCCTTATGATCAGTGGCGGTGTGGTTCGCTAGATGAGTCAAGCGCGAGCAAAATCAAAAATGCCCTTATAGTGAAATTTTTAAACATCAAAAAAATTTAAATATCCATGGTAAAAGTATCAGAAATCAAAAAGTAAAGAGTATCGGAAATGGAATGAAAATGGGATACCCTAATATTGTAACACTAATATTGACCTATTCGAACACTTTAATTTTTTTTTTATGCAATTTTTTTATAAATATAGAAGTGTATAATTTGTTTTTTTTAAAAATATTTTTGATTTTGAAGAACTTCGAAACGGACATTTGCGATTTTCGATAATTTTGCCTCGGAAATTTAAATTTTAAAAATGAATGGGAAGCGGGGAGGGGGAGTTTCGACTTAAAGAGAAGCCGGGCGTTATATCAGTGTCGTATTTTGCAACCATAATACATGTTATATGTTATGCGTTGTATATGACCGTACCATAATTATTTGACCTTGCTAAATTTAAAATGTTGACTCGCAAATACTCGTAAGCTTTGGCAAACTCCAGGCATAATTTTGCTAAACCTTGAATGAAGTTGAAGGGCCGACTCCATCGGGTGCACATTGTATATGAGAATTATTTTTGTAACGGAATGAGATAGAATTAATCTGTCAGTAAAGTACGCCCCTCCCGGTTCCCATTCTCACTTCCACAGCCACTGAACATAATATGTCCCGCTTTGCTAGGGGTTAAAAATATCCTAGTTTATTTTTATACCCGGTCAAATATTACGGAGGGGGGGGGGGGTAAATGTATTCTAGGGTTTACTGTATCCTCAGTAAAGTTATCCTAGGATAATTTTACCCTCGGAGGTAAAAAGATTTGAGGGTATTAGAAACCTGCGACACTGGGTTATAATATACGGTGTAATAATAATGTGATAATTTATAGTATAATATACCCTGCCCACACTCAAGTACACGATGGTCATCGATCTGTTCAAGTCCGTGTACTTGATCACCTTGATGCACACCAGGAAGAACAA